GTGTATTATTATTATTATTTATGACTGGCTCTGTAATGTGACTCTTGTTTTTTTTCTATGTATTTTCGTGTGGCAGAAAAATAAACGTTTGTATTCTATTCTAAGTGTAATTTTCTTTCCCAGTGGTGGGCGAGCGCGAAAGGAACTCCGGCACAGTGAATGTTCGCACGCGCGACAACAAAGTTCACGGCGAGATGTCCATACAAGGGCTCATCGACCACTTCAACGAGCTCACCAGGAACAAGACGCCTTCGGAGGACAGCCAGCTACTTAAATAATCTAGCTTCAATAGTAAATAGTAGGGATTCGGGAAATTATAGGGATATACAGATGATTGAAAGTCAAGTTGAAGTTTGTGACTTTTTTTTTTTTATTTAAATTTTTTTTATCGTTTTTAGGTAAGACTTAAAAAAAAAAAATTATTTATTTTATAGAAACCAACAGCGATACATATATTTTAATATCGAAAATATCATAAGAAGAAAGCACTAAATAAAGAACTTTAATTTGTCTAAACGCCTTAATGATTATTATAATTTTAATTAACACTTATTTCTACATACTATTGTACCAGTGATTTAACGGAAAGGTAAGTGTGAGGAAAATGAGGTTTCACAATCATAGTACGGGAGATATCTCCAGCACAAAGGCCACGGCTGTGTTGTAAAATTGATTTAGTTCCAATGGGACACAATTTCAACGGGACACATTTTCAATCAGACACATTCCCACGTGGACACAGTTGCAAACTGACACAATACAGTCAGTCGAATAAATGAAAGTGTGGTTTCAAAGTTCCGCGACAGCATTTCCATCAAGTGTGGCCTTTGCTACTCTGTAAAGGGGCCATCCATCAATTACGTTACACTTTTAAGGGGAGGGAGAGGGTTGACGAAGTATGACACTGTGTGACAAGAGGGTGGGAGATGTCCTAAGTTTCGTGGACGTCACTTTTCAAATTGACGACGAAATTTGTGTGACGTAATGGATAGCTGTAGTAGTGTTGTTCAAAATGTTCCTATAATTTCTTGGATTCATACTAAATTGCGCGCATGACCGTTGGGGTCCTAAGGACCTTATGAAATTACATTGGCATTACTAATAATACTGAAAACACATTGACTGAAAGATGGGCCTTGGAAAACTAAGTTAGTAGTAGTTTCGCACGAAATTCGTTCGCACGAGTGAATACTTTGATACATCCGGGCAGAACGCCTACTAAAAAAAATATTATTATTGAAAGGGGGACGTTTCGCACATTCGTGCGAAACTACTACTAACCCATAAAAGGAAAACTAGCACTTCTATACGAAAACAATTGAATAACAATTTTAAAAACAAGTTTGTAAAATTGGTTTACGAAAAAAAATCTGTCTTAGTAATTTATTTTAGAATTCATACCTCATGAAAAGATGAATATATTTAGTTAATTTTCATTCATAAGAGTATCATGCATTTCTATGCATTTAAGAGCAAATCCTTCTTACATGTTCAACCCATTATTCATTCATTTTGAATCTTATTTCAACAGCCTAAAGTTGTTAATACGGTGGCAACCATTCACCCACCACTAGATAAGTCGTCCTACTCGTACCTAATGCTTTTACTTGTGAGTATTGTGCAGGGAACTACTTATTTTATGTTAAATTATGCACTAGGTTAAGTTTTCGGCGGTTCTGAAATAAATATTTCCAAATGCGAATTTACGTTTTATTTATTATTTTCACATTACCTATAACTACTTAATAATATGAAGTGCGATTTATTGTCACTATATTCTAGACTTAAAAATGAATGAGAATAATAATAATTGGTACTACCGTTCTATTCATGAATAAATAAATCAATTTTAGATTGAGGTCCAAATAAGGGCTACCTTTTTTTTAATTTTATTTACTATATTTTGACGTTCATATAGTTCATAAGTGCCACTTGTGGTCTAAATAAATATTTTTGATTTTTTTGAAAGACTGACGTTGCTGTGGGGAATACTTACGCCCGTATTCACAAACGATGCTTGCTTAAGTGAAGCAGCAAATCGAACGCACATCATTGAATAGAGCTCTGTGATGGGTTCGTGTGTCATCCTGTGCGTCCACGCGCACTGTGAGACCTCATAGTAATGTTTGTGAATACGGGCGTTAATCTTGATAAAAGCAGTTATTTGTGCGTCTTTCGCGAAATCGAACCCGCATTACGAGTGGACCTGAAAAATAAAAGATAAAATGTTATTTTTAGCGCAGAGTAATTTAATAAACTTAAAGCACTACACATAACTAAATAAGGGTTACGTTTTTTGCCATTTGGCTACGGAACCCTAAAAACTGCAAGAACGGCTGTTTTTTTTTTATTAAAAACCGTTTTGTCTACGGGAAACTGTCTTTAACTTCCCTGTCTTTAATTAACATCATAAAATTCAAAATTTTTCAAAATTCAAAATACGTTTATTGTGAACCACAGGTACATAGGTTGTCAAATTATAAATGGATATAGATCGGCTGCGTTCCGCCTTGAAGGCATACAATAGTTAGTGCTTAATTCTAGGGTTAAAGTTTATGCTGAAGGTTAGGTGCAAACATATTAAGTAATTATTCAGAATTTTTCAAATAATCGATCAATAAACAATTTGGTCCGTCAAAAAGTCACTAGTCTTATAATAACATTTTTCTGTCAAAAAATCACTAAGATTTCGTTTAAAAGATATCAGATCTTCAGAGTTTCGAATGGACTCGGGAATTTTATTAAAGATACGCGGTGCGTTGCAGAAGACACTTCCTTGAAGCAAAGCTGTCTTGCTGGCCACTGTACATAACTTGTGCTTGTGACGCTCTCTAGTTTTAAAAGAATATAAATCTAAATTAGTTTTAACAAACATTGCACACTCAAAAATATACAAGCATGGTACGGTCAAAATTTTAAGCTTTACAAAAAATGGTTTACATGAATCAGTCTGTTTCAGATTGTACATTGCTCGTATGCATCGTTTCTGAGCTCTAAACGCAAGGTCTTTGTCTGTTGAATTTCCCCAAAACATGATACCATATCGCAATGTCGACGCTACATAGCCATGATAGGCAGTCAATAAAGTGGATTCATTGGCATTTTTTCTCAAATTATATAATGCATAAGAAAACTGACTTAACTTTTTACACACATGTTCAATATGATTTTTCCATTTTAACAATATAAAGTCCTAGAAATTTTGTTGTTTCTGTTTCATTGATTATTTTATTAGAATATTTAATATTAATGTTAATTTCTTTATTTTTTGTTCGCGGTCTAAAATTCATTAGTAAAGTTTTGTCCAAATTTATTTTAAGATTATTATTATCAAGCCAATTTATAACTGTTGTCAAGGAATTGTTAATGTCAGTTTCCAATTCTTTAAAATTGACATTAGTAAAAAGAAGAGTACTGTCGTCCGCAAATAATGTCATATTGGTTAATTTTGTTATGGTCATGCTTAGGAACTTTTTTCAGATCCATCAAGCAAGTATCTGCTCTAAAGAAGTTCGTCTCGTAGTATGGAAACATTCAATGTAAGGCATTATAATAAACCGTATTTACAAGTTACACGACATCGTGGAACGTTGATATCATAAAGGTAGCAGGGAAGCGCTGGACGCAGGCCGCTACCAATCGATCAATATGGAAAGCATTGGGGGAGGCCTATGTTCAGCAGTGGACGTCCTATGACTGAAATGACGATGATGATGACAACTTACAATTTAAACGTCAGTATTTCGAGCACCAATATAGCCACCGAAGCAGCTGTCCCGTACAGCATAAACAGCAGTACTGGCTTTAGATCCAGAATTCCCACGCTGCTGAAAGCGGACACCTTGTGAGCGCAGCCCGGTTTAGGGACCTGCATGCGTCTGACCAGCGCGGACTGAAGACCAGCCTCGCGGATTTGCTTGAAGCTGAAATAGGTTAACAATTTTAAGTAGAAAAAAACAAAGAAAACAATATTTTGTTCGTCAGCCGAAAGACGTCCACAGCTGGACAAAGGCCTCCCCCAAGGTTTTCCACAAAGACCGTTATATCCGTTCGTAACATAAAATTGAGTATAGGTACAGTTAGAAAGTACGTTTGGTATAATGTTGGGAATCAAAATAGCAACCACTCAGTAAGTATGTGTATCCTGCTATAAAGTAGAACCCAGAACGTGACGCTTGTATTCTGCGGAAGCCATAGTTGTAAAGAGCGTCATCAAATATAGTCTGATTGGTTTTAATAACCCTTTTGGGCATAATAACCGTTAGGGTAGACAAGTTTTGATTAAATCAGCACTTACAAAATGTGGCCATGATAATTCTTCTCTGTCTGGTCTGGATAAATCTTACAAACCGGTCGAGTTTACTGCGCATCTGGCTGCCGTGACGTCACCTCGACACTGGTGCGGGCGGGGTGAACGCTGGGAGGTGTGCGCGTGATAGGGAGAGTCGCATTCCAACGAGGTGCGCTGTTAGCTTGATTGGGTTGTAAATATTATTTTTGTGTAATCAGCATGGCACGTGTAAACGTGTTGATAAATATGATAGATAATGATAATTATATCTATCTATTTGGTTACCATAAACAACTGTGATAGGTATTCTATAATTTATGGCCGGTAGTTTACCTACAATTCTTTCACAGATTGGATAAAAATATAAATGGAATTTCAAAAAAAATCTTGAATAGGTCCTACACCTATAATTTTAAATTACTAGTACTTATTTTCCATTTTTTTTACGGTTTCTTTGTGTTTTTGCGTCAAACTAATGTCTGTCTTACGGCTGCTCGAAGAGATATGCAATCAACCCAATGACCGCGATAGCGTAGATTTAGATTAGTACCATCAGTCGGTTCGTCGATTTTGCATTAACAGGTCCTTTAACTGTCGCCTGTAATATTATTTTTATTCTAGTTGTTTTAGTGTAAAGTTTAGTTACAAAGCTATGGACAACGAAGGTGAGAGAGAGCGTCTCATCCCACCCAGCGCTTCGGATTCCGAATTACAACCACGGAAAGGATTCCAATGGCGATACACAATTGAATTGCCTCTTTTCTTAATAAGTTTCGGCGTTGTACTCGCAGGTAATAAACATTATTATTTTTGTCCGGAATTAGAAATATTTTTTTAAATTAATAGTTTGCTTTGCAGCTCTTTATCTTACTTATGTAATTTACTTTGCTAGGAAACTAAACCTGTTGCTATTGTAAACAAACTGCGTGTTCAAGATTTGTTTACCTTACCTTAATTTGTTAACCTTAGTGTAAGGCCCGGTTCTAACCAAGGCGGAGCAGAGCGGATATTTTTTTAAATAGGAGATTGATTATTGAAAAGGGTGTTACTATGTATAATATGTATGTATTTACAAAAAAAAGTATTTAAAGTATGTTCATATCCGTTGTCTAGGGCCCATAGTACCTACAAGCTTTGCTTATAGTCTGGGACTAGAAGCGTAGTGTAAAATGTCCAAGGGTATTTATTACTAAAAATATTTCTCCGCTCCGTCTTGGTGGAAACCGGGTCTAAGGCTTATTTTGTACCTTCTTAAATGCTATGAGTATTTGTGAGTAGGTGTTTTTTAAACTGGAATCTTCTGTAGCAGATATAGAATACCTACATAAGTAAGCTGCTTTTGAATGACATTCATTATTTTCCAACCAGCTACACCGCTAAGCAACATCATCATGTACCGGACCTGTATCCACACACTGGGCCACACAGTGGGCGAGTGCCACACGTTCTTAGAGCCGGACAGCATGAATCACACCCAGGAGTTGGAGAATGAGGTCCAGAAGTACGTCACGATGGTGAATGCGGCACAGACTGTAATAGCAGCCGTGGTGCCGGCGGCTCTGTCTTTGTTCTTGGGGGTGTGGTCCGATAAGTATGGCAGGAAACCGTTGCTCGTATGGACGTTTTTAGGTAAGACTTAGTTAAGTCTATCCTGTTCTATCGTGAGGGTGCGGGTGAGTCTAGCTAAGTGTAGGATTTTTTTAAATAAAATATTATTTATTAGTAACTATTACAAAAATTACTAATAGTCCCGTTAGCCCCTCGTACTAAGCTAAATATGCTTGTATCACGAGTGAGCTCACCATAATAGTCGAGCGGCGGCGGGGACCGAACCCGCGTTCCCCGGATCACGAGTCGGCCAGTCCGACCCCTTCACCGTTCGGCTATCGTGGATTCCCGACTCATTTCTCACACAGCCTCCAGAGAGAGGAAATGAGTAGGTATGCCTTTTCCACTATTCCGCATACCATCATGACAGCAAACCTACTCTTTTAAATGGGGTTTTGCTTCTTATGATCCTGGATTCCTTTGAGAAATATCACGTAATTTTTTTCCATTATAAACAGAGTAAATCCTCCGTCTGCATTTGTGAACACAGGCCCAGTTTTTAGACTCGCAGTTTGCTACCAATGCTTAAATATTAACAAAATGTAAACTAATAGTTAAAAATTGTACTAAAAGTAAAAAAATTGGGCCTAAATTGTTTTATTTTATCATTTCAGTTATTTTTTTACGCAGGTCGGGTTTTTTTTTTATAAAATCTAATATTTTCGAAGCATGGATTATCTCATTTACATTGCAAATAGGCATTTTAGAAAATCTCACGTGAGATTAGGGGGTGGGGGAGGGGGTCTGGCAAAATCTCATGAAATCTCACCAAGGGGGGCGGGGGGTTAAAAAATGGCCAAAATTGTCGCACGTAAATTAATGGACGCCCCCTAACCTTCTAGCATCGTTTGTGAATAGGTACGTGCGATACTTAGTGCTAGTAGTCTATCTAGAGTTAGAGCGCTTTCACATTAGGGTGTTAGTAGCGCGACTGCAGCGCGGCAGCGGCGTTTTTATAATGTAAAGGCATGCATCCGCTGTCAGGCCGTATACAGAAAGAAAGCTGGAAACTTATAAGCGCTTACCGGCGCAGTAGCGGCGTAAGGGGGGGGCGGTGGGGGCGGTCCGCCCCGGGTGCCAAGCATCAGGGGGTGACAAAGTCTTTGCAGATTAGTACTCACTGACGCATCTGCATGGCAAGGACGGTCGTGATGTCATGACAGGGGGGGTGCCATTCTGGGGTGCCTCAGGCTATAATTTATATTANTATAAGCGCTTACCGGCGCAGTAGCGGCGTAAGGGGGGGGCGGTGGGGGCGGTCCGCCCCGGGTGCCAAGCATCAGGGGGTGACAAAGTCTTTGCAGATTAGTACTCACTGACGCATCTGCATGGCAAGGACGGTCGTGATGTCATGACAGGGGGGGTGCCATTCTGGGGTGCCTCAGGCTATAATTTATATTATGACGGGGGGGGGGTGCCGCCCCGGGTGCCAACTTATGCTACGCCGCCACTGTACCGGCGCTTGACAGCGCTGGTAACCCGCGCAGGAAAATATATGAACGCGCGCCGATAAGCACTGAACGGCGCCGACAAGTTTCAACATGCGCTGGTCAGCGCTGGAGCCTGGACGCTGCCATATAAAATGCCATTCAACTTGCTTCCTTTGTGAACGAACGAACCATGCAGCGCTGACAAAAGTTTCCAGCTTTCTTTCTGTATACGGACGGACTCACATAGTATGAAATTTTCGGCAGCGCGTCTGTCGCGCGTTTGTCGCGCTGCTAAATCGCCTAAATGTGAAAGCGCTCAGTAGGTATGTCGTATTTTCAAGGTTTAAGGCGATTAGTGTCCTCAATCCGCGCCAAATGGGCATTTTGTAAAGCCTACTCCTCTTTTACTGCTGGACAGAAATAGTTGAAAAAAATATATGTTATACAACAGTTCAAGGACTACATTTGTGACGTTTGAATTTTCGCTACGTCTTTTTGTTTTGGATTAAAAAAATAAATACGGGACATCGATTGTTTACTTAAATTCCCTACTCCTCCAAAACGGCTATGTTAATTTAAAAGATTTTTGCACGAATAGATTGGGAATTTTTTAATCTTTAAATGACACGTTGCGTTTTTCAATCGAACATTACTTTCATTCATAAATTTTACTTTTGATAAATTCCGAACGTTTTGCTGTTGAGGGGGCCTTCGCGGGGTGCGGGCGGCAGTCGGCCGCTGGCCTTCAGACGGGGAGGTTGTGTCACTCGCTACAAACTGACATTAGCGATCAAAATGAATTTTTTCTTTGGCTAAGTTGCACCACCTGACGTGACCTAACTTTGACCGTAGCTTTGGCGATAACCGGTGTTTTTTGTATGGAGTTAGACAGACTTTTGACGCTTGTCAAAGTTGAAGTAAGATGGTGCAACCCAGCTTTTGTTCGACAATAGATTTTATGTCAGAATTGTTCATAGAGTACGTGCATTAAATACCTTTACACCTGAGTTAAATGACACCGACATCAAGGTTCATCAATTTAAGTTTAAAATAATAGGCAGTAATGTATGAAGAAAGAGCTTCTATTCTGTATCTACCTATGCCCGTGTATTTTTGATCGGTGTCAAATCGGAGTTTTTGGTGCGGGGTACGCGGGTGTTGCTCGCGGCGTGAAGGTCAAACGCCCAAGGTCATTGAGGACTCTAATCGCCTTAAAGGGTCTTGCTTGAATCTTATGTTTTCAGGCATGACGTTCAATGGCATGCTGTCAGTGGTATACAGCATGGTGGAATCTCTCGGTCCGTGGTGGTACATCGTCAGCAGCCTGCCCTGCGCTTTGACCGGCGGTTTCCACATCATCATGATCGGAGCCTTTTGCTTCATCAAGGACATCACTGACGATGACAACAGGTCTTTTAGGTAGGCAAAAATTTAGAAGTAAACTGATTAAGGGTGGATTCGACCAAACAAGAGTAAATATTGATCTCAGAATAAATCGTCAGTTTTGACATATTTACCATACTAAAATTGACAATGTAACAGTTACACCAGGAGTTATTCTCGGATAAAAGTTTGGTCGAATCGGGCCTAAACTGACTGTACGGCGAAATAATTACCTATTTAGGTATCTTGTAAAGTAATCAAAGTTTTTATTGCCACTGAATATTCTAAAGCACGGTAATACTATCTATACAGTATTCCAACTCGGCCATATTTTTGAAATAAATGTCAACAGCCCCGCGGTACGTCACGGTATGACAACATGCGATAGGGCTGCTCACCTACAGTACCCATTCTAATTACATCTGTCTACTTAGAATTTCTATCTAGTATTGTGATTGTATTATTTTTTTATTTAGACAAACAAAATACTTTTTGAATGGAATAGGATAAAAATGCGTGTTGTTTTGTGGTTAGTAGATTTAATTTAAAAAAATATACTAAAATAATTTTGAATCTACTAATCATAATGACCGGTTACTTTAATTTCAGGCGGGTGAAGTCGTGGGCCAAAGCTGGTTTTAAATACAATATAATTTTCATTTCAAATCAAACTGACTGAAAATGACCATTTCTGACAGTTAATGACTAGGTAGTTTTTGAAAAATTTGACCGTTTAAGACGGTAAGTCAAATTCAATCAACTTAGTCATTTTCAACACTAGGCCATCGACGTCCGTTCGGCACATTCGCGACACCCCTAACTTTTACTTTCGACCGCGTACCGAAATTTGAAATTCGAAGGAATGCTCGCGTTTCGTCGGTTTATATGAAGTTACAATACTGTATGATATTATTACCGTGTCTAAAGTTTCTTTTGTTTTGTTTTTTTCGCTCTGATAAATATCATTTTATTGTTATATTTAGAACTCTGCTCTTGTACTTGTTTAGTTTATTAAGCAAGCAATACGTTTAAGTTATGCTAATGCAAATAATTTCCTCAATTCTCTTCTTAAAAATTTCCACTTATAGAAATAGTAGACCGGTGACGGACTATCAATTGCTCAAAATATTGAGCATGTGAAAGTAGGTATCAAAGTCAAAGTCAAAATATTTTGCTCTTAAGGAGCCTCTACATGTCTCAATCTTTTTACCCTACCAGCGCTTCGAGACCAACATTTGGCAAGTGCTGAGAAGAAGCGCCGCAACAAACTCAGTCACCACTGTCAGCCGATTAATATCTGGAGTCCTCGATCACCTTTACACGAATTTAAGAGAATGCCCAATGAAAATTGTTTTCAGGTTAACCATGCTCACTCTAACGAATGCGTTGGCCCAGACTACAGCTACAATGCTCTGCCCCTACATAGTGAAATGGATCGGCAACGTTTACTTGCTGTTGCTCGCGGCCACTTTATACACGTTAGCATATGCCTTCACCGTGGTCATCGTTGAGGAGTCTTTGACCAATATCGAACAGGTATGGTGTTATTTTGTTGCAAATTTAAAGTGTAATATAGAATTTCGCCATAGCCAACAAATGATGTGCATGTGTGGTGTGTTTAACAGGTTGTCGATATTATTCAAGATTAAAAACAAAATTTTAGGACATTTGTTTTTTTACTGATTTGTGTTGAGTGTCAGTAATACATATGTACACACCCTGTATTACACTATAAATGCCATAGTAATTTTATCTATCAGTGATGTCGTTCGTAGAAATGTAATCAAATTAATCATGGATTGCATATATGAGTCATTTTACCTTCGCTTTGTTTGGTAAAGCCCCTTGTAGGTACTGGCCCGTATTATAAAGTAAATCTTTTATACCTGTGTCGATATTATAGAAGGTCAAGGTATTCAAATCTCACTTGTAACTCAAAGTTGACTTTATTTCTGGTCAGAAACTCCACCGTTTTTCCTCTTTAATTTAAAATTTCTTCTATTACAGGGCAGCTTCTTATCAGTGTTGAAACTGTCGCACATAAAAGAAATGGCAATCGCCTGTTTCTCGAGAAAACCTGACTATGGCAGAGCAATCCTACTTTTATCGGGAGCTACATGCTTCCTCTCTCTATTTCTTCTCTATGGAGAGAATGGTCTCCTGTACATGTACACAAGGGAGCATTTACACTGGACTATGAAAGATTTCACCATGTTCTCGTCCATCAGTACCGGGATGTGGTTCGTTGGGGCCTTTGTTGGCGTGGCGTTTATACAAAAATGGCTGCGGATCAGCGACCTGACCTTCACCGCGATATCTTTCATGTCTTGTGTAGTGGAGTACACAGTCAAAACTCTTGCTACGACTACATGGCTCATGTATTTAGGTAAGTTCTTTAAAACTCATAAAACTCATTTATTTTTGCAAATAGGCTTTTAAAAAGCACTTTCACACGTCCCAGTATTAACCCTACCACTGCTTCGGGACAATAAATGGGCCAGTGCTGAGAAGAAGCAGCGAAAGAAACCCAGACCCTATTGTCAGTCGCTTTGTTTACTTTTTGCAGTTAGTCTTTTGGATGTCCCAATATTCTTCAATAATAAATTTTGTGGGTAATATGGCTGAGAAGAATCCGCTCAAAAATTCAGTGACCATTGCGAAACTCTTGGATAAATTGTAATATTGTATTGATGCGAGCTACGCAGGTTTTTTATTCCACACATTTTCGTCCTTAATCTTCTGCTTTTACAACCTTAATAACCCTTTACATCTCTTCTGGCCGATGGGACAGCAAGATTCTGGAGTGGAGGCCGCGTACCGGAAAACGCAGCGTGTGACGTTCACCCACAAGGTGGGCCGACGACATCATAAAGGTAACAGGAAAGCGCTGGACGCAGGCCAACCAACCAACCACATGGAAGCCAACCGGGCAACATGGAAAGCAGTGTATGTTCAGCAGTGGACGTGCTATGGCTGAGATGATGATGATGATGATGATGACTTTTCTTCTGCCTTTCTATTGAATCAAACGTATGAAAAGATATAATGTATCAGAAGACTATAATGTGCCCTTGTTACAGGATCTGCTCTGTCGTTATTCGGGACAGTCTACGCTGTACTCATCAGGTCATTCCTGAGCAAGACGCTGCCAAGCCAGGACATAGCCAAGGTCTTCGGATTCCTGAGTTTCGTGGAGGCCTTCTGTCCGTTGCTTGGGCCTCTTGTGTACAACTCACTGTATGAGGCGACCATATCGACATTCCCTGGGTCAATTCTGGTACTCACCGCGGGGATATATGCTGTGTGTTTCATTTTGACCCTGTGAGTATAACTTTTTAATCTATTTTGAGACCCACAAAAATGGCTTTTCCATACCTGCCAGCTGCCTTTTAGGGTGTCTATAATATCGTGCGGATTTCATCACGCATGCAGGATTACCCCGGGTCTCTCTTACCCCTCGTGCGTAGGTATTCCATAGTTTATTTCACTTTGTTCACCCAGGTGAAAGTCGAATTTTTAGTGTCCTCATTTCACCTCGGAACCATTTCACCCAGGTGAATTGATTGGATTAAAACAGTCGCCTTTGTTCATCTAGGAATTTATTCACTAATGTTTTCGCATCTGTTTACCTGGGTGAATTAATTCGTTACAAATCCAATTGTAGGTAGGGAGGAAAGGGGTGACTTGTGCAATGCAGATGGTTATTTGCCTGCTGGTTACCGCTGGCATAGGAGAGGAAGAAGCAAACTGTTGCTGCAATCGTCTTTCTTCTTTCGTTCTAGAAGTCATTGCAACGGAACGGGGCGCGACATTTATCTATGTTTTCTGTCAACCAAAAAACCTAGTACACGCTGTAAATAACTTGAATTTAAATTCTTCTCAATGACCTTTTCCGCAGTAATATAACACTTTACATCTCTTCTGGATACTCATACACCTCATGCTATTGCCAAGTATCGGACTCTATAAATTTTAGTTTATCAACCTGTTCTTTATTTGTTTCAGAATCATAAAGTGCATCACCATAAGAATAAATACTTCACAGTCATATGATGTGATACGAGCCCATGTGCAAAGTAGTCCGTCTGTTAGGATACGAGAGGCACACTTAATTATGTAATATAAAATTTTCATAAAATAAAAAAAGTTTGTGTAAAAAAACAATTAACCATAGTTTCGACTAAGTAGGTATATTTCGACACATTTCAATTTCTTCCATGACCTGACATAAAAAATAAACAAATATTATGAAAAGATGCAATTGATGAAAAATTAGATCTCTTGCTGTAAAAAAATGGGGAAGCGTAAAGAAAACTTTCTCCTTATTTTATTGGGTTCGTGCAATCATAAGTATGGTAACACTGCTGAATGAATTGCGGTAAATCTGATTCCGATCAAAATATCATCAACTGTCGTATCGTTCTTTATTGGCGACATTTTATTTCGATAGCGAATTGGACGACATCATTTAGCCAGTGGGTCTAGACAAAGTGCAAATTATAATCGCAAACCAGTCGAAAAGTAGTCGAAAAGCCCCTTTTTTGTATGGAGTTTTGACGGATTCGATTTTCGATTCGTTCAAAAAGTGCGTTATGTCTAGGGGGGCTGAGTTATACTTTAACTTTAGCAAACGTCAAAAATCTGTCAAACTCCACTCCATAAAAAAACAGCGCTTATTGTTATGGTTACGGTTATAGTCAGGTGGTGGAACTCGTGTGTGATGAACTGTGATATAAGACTTATTTCTTTAAAGTTTAATTTTTTTTTCATTGTATTGTAAAAATTATTTGCAAATAAAAGTTACTTTTATAAATTACAATTTCAATCAATTCCTTTACGCCCCCCCCCCCCCACCAGTCTTTAATTTAAGTTGGGTATAGGTAGATATAGCGGGGGACTAAGGCACCCCAGAATGGTCTGATGCCCCCCAGAATTTTTGATTCGAAATTTCGAAGATGAAAGATGTTAGTGCGAATGAGCTATATTATTAAGATACCAATCGCCTATCAACATAAATCATGACCGTCCTTGTCATGCAGATGCGCCAGTGAGTACTGTGGTACTAATCTGCGCGACTGTTGTCACCCCCTGATGCTTGGCACCCGGGGGGAACCGCCCCCACCGCCCCCATGACATTTTTTCACGCGGTCGGTCGCTACGTAACGTAAATTCATGGTAAGCACACTGTTCTTTATTTGTTTCAGAATCATAAAGTACATCATAAGAATAACTACTTCGCAGTCATATGATCTAATACAATCATAAGTAGGTAAGGTAACCTATTGCTGTATGAATTGTTGTGAATCTGATTCCAATCGATATTCCTATTATCATCTTCGTATCTTCATTGGATGGATCATTCGCTTATTATTTCGATAATAAGTACGAGGACAATAATTGTATTCTCTAAAACTATTATATAAAAGTATACAGGGTGGAAACGATAAGTGATCTCACTCGATTATTTCTAAACTATACAAGATATCAAAAAACTAGTTACTGATCCTGAAAGTGCTTCATGAGCTCTATCAAACGGTACCAATAATAGGTTAAAGAATAAATTGGATCTATCCGAAAATTCAATGTTTCCGGCTTCCATACATTTGGTACAGCCCCATAATATTAAAAACTGCAAAAGATATCGTGAAACTGGTTACTGATCCTAAAAGTACTTCACGAGCTCTATCCTATGGTATCGATATTAAGTTACAGAATAAACTGGATCTATCTAAAGATTCAATGTTTTTATCTTCCATACCTACATTAAGTATATATAACTTATATATATATATTATAGCAAGTAATGCCTAAAACTAATTTTCCATAAATAATTTTAAATAAGAATGCAATTTACGATTTTATTTAAAGTTTAAAAAAAATACACTTCTAATATTGCGTGGTTGGCATACATTTAATATGGAAGCTGGAAACATTGAATTTTCGGATAGATCCCGTTTATTCTGTAACCTGTTATTGGTACCGTTTGAAAGAGCTCGTGAAGCACTTTCAGGACCAGTAACCAGTTTTTCGATATCTTGTATAGTTTAGAAATAATCGAGTGAGATCACTTATCGTTTCCACCCTGTATTTTGATCACTAATGCATTGATCGCCATCGTTGCACGCCGCTCCGGGTGATCGCGTGTGATCGCGTTGGTTTGGCCGAACCTTAAGCTGTGTATGTGATGAACTGTGTTACAAACTTACTCGTAGTAGGTACTTATTAGAAACAACTAACTTAAGCACGTAGGAACTATTTGCAAATAAAAGTATTATTTTTATAAATTGCAATTTCAATCAATTTACACCTGCCCTAAGTTACTGTTAGTAGCTAAAAAGATTCCTGAGATAGACCGATGTACGCAGGCAAGGACGCGGGCAAAAGTCAATAAATAAGGTGTCGTCCATTGATCACGCAAGGATCTAAAGGGTTCGGAAAAAAACACAAAATAGCATTATACGTTAAAAATTGCTAAAATTAAGGAAGAAGCACACTTATCAACCCGGAAACGGATCGTAAAAGTAGTCAACTAGAGGAAATCAGTATTCTTGGTATGACACTCCGTACTGCAACGCACATTTAATTTTACCCGCACCGTAACGTAACCGCCTCGCCTCGCTTGATGTTGATTCCTTTCCAGGTTAATAAGCGTGCTATGAACCTTAATGCCATATGTCAACAACTCACGCGACCCTCAGCAACTCCAGATAAGGGGAATCTTTCCTCACGGGCACGAAGGGGTCGAACCCGTTCATGAAATCGACCTCCGCCAAGTCACACTTCTCAGTCTCCAGGAAGGTGTCTTCGATGCGCCGGTAGACTGGCTCCACGATCGAGTGGAACGCGAAAAGACCCTGGAGTGATAGGTCATCATCATCATCAGATCATTTAATCTCCATTGCAGGAAAACGACTTTATTTACCAGAGGCAAATGGAAGAAAGGCCAAAGCCTACACTCTCCACGCTAGCTAGACCGGCTCCATGATCGAGTGGAACGCAAACAGACCCTGGTCAGAGGCAGTAGTTTAGGTCATCATCATCAAGTAGGTTAGTCTCCATTGCAGGAGGAAGATCCTCTCAAAACCAGTGAAAAATGGAGGAATTGGACTAGGTACATTCCCCACGCTGGCCAGACTGGAATATGTAGACCCCGAGCCCAATGATAGTCAGAGTCATCCTCAGCAATTCTTACAGGGGAATCTAAAAGGGGAATCCTTGTTCATATTCATTTATTCACGTAGTAAAATAAAGCGAACAAAGTTAGTCTTGCTTTAGACTTACCTGTCTTATTCTTTCGACACCTTCGTTGATATCGTAAAATTGGCCTTTTCCCTTCTCTGGATCCACTTTCTTGTAAATAGTAACGTGAACAGGATCATTGTAAAGCTAAAAACAAAATGTATGAATCAAACGAGAGAATAAGGAGTAGATCTAAGAGATTGCTACTTCTCATGTATTTGAATAAATCAACTGCCTTAAACCTCAATTTTTACGGAGCTCGCTGATCGCTAACAATAGGTACTATATCGGAATTTATTGTCACAAATACTTTGTCAAAGGCTTGTACGAATGTACTCACACTAAAGACAAAGTGGTTGTAGTCCACATCATTGGCAGCCAACGTGACCTTCGAGGCAGCCAGCTGGGATAGCGTCTTGATGGAGTTGGAAGGCGCTTGTAGCAGCACCACGATATTAGCTGAGTATGCTGCGTACAGCGCCATTAGGGCGGCAAAGAACACCCATGCCGTGACGCGACCTGGCGTGAATATGAATCAGGTAAAGCTATATGAAGGTAGGTATTACTTAGCATCTCCAGTAGTTCGAGAGAACGAGCCATACTAGTGGGTTCTGGGTTCGATTCCCAGATAGATCAGGTGAATTAAATGGCATGTGACTCTATGAGCTGTAATTGGAATCGGCGGTTGGAGAGTTAAACTGATCGACTGTTTAACGTGATCCCTAAGAATCGAATCAAGGACTACAGAGGCGCAAATGATGGTAAATATATACACATATCGATGGCTCCTACGTATACTGGCGTAAGTGAAAAAAGTAAATTTTACAGGAGAGCCATTTTAGTGGCCAGAACCATATTTTTGGGTCATATCTTCTGACCTACTAAAACGAATTTAATGAAATTTCACATTTAGCCTTAACATGTAATGCTTTTGCTACTGCTGTTATCAATTTTTATATTTTTCTTATNTGGGTCATATCTTCTGACCTACTAAAACGAATTTAATGAAATTTCACATTTAGCCTTAACATGTAATGCTTTTGCTACTGCTGTTATCAATTTTTATATTTTTCTTATATATTTTGAGATTTTACGCATTGCCCTTTTACGTCGGCATATTTCTATAATTTCATGTATATTGTTCAACGTAAAGAGACTTAAATGACAACGTAAATATAATATTTTAAGCGATTACTCTCTTTATTTATGCATGTAATTATTTTAATTGTTATCATGTGCTATATCAATAATAAATCAGTTAGAAAAAGTCGTTTAATGTACCGTTTTAAGTTTTAACGCAAATACGCCCATATACTGTGCTCGAGATTTAGTTAGGTCTTTTAAAATAATGTGTCATATTTTAAAAAAATATAAATAACTTGAAAAAATCGAATTGCCTAAGGCGGGAATTGAACCCACGATGCCTTAGGCAGTTCGATTTTTTCAAGTTATTTATAATTTTCAAATTAGTTTGAGATGCGACTCTTAACGCTAAAAATTAAATAACTATATAATGTGTCATAATTTATAAATAAAACAATTTGCTAAATATTTTCATGGCTTTATTTAAGATTTGGATTATAAAAAATATATGTTTATGTAAGCAACTACTCGTATAGATTGACGAATCGTATGATTGGGCTTTATACGTGGCGTAGTTTAGCACATACGCCTATTTGCCTAAAATTTTATTTTGTATCTAATGGAAAAAAAATTTTTTTTTCTTACTGATGTTATAGATTAGAGCAAAGTGAAATCATTGCTTAAATAATTGGAAAAAGGCGTAAGCGGCAGTTTCGCCCTTATACGTAGGAGCCATCGATATACAATATGGTGAGTTTCATGTAGCCCAGTACCTCTAGCTAGATAATGCACAATAAATAAAATCGATATCAAAATTGCCACTGAAAATTCTACTTTACCTGAAATCCGCCTTGGTTCCAAAAAGCACCCTTGTTGGCTGACAGCACTCATTGTCAATAGTAGAGCATCGCCGATACTTCCGTCCAATTGGGAAGGGCCCTAAAATATTTCTCAATGATATAAGTCACATAACCAGGACATGGTTACACGTAATACACATAGATGAACTTACCGCCCCGAGATTGGCCTCCCATTTGCTAGCCAAATACAGAGTAACGGTAGATACTACGGCACAAACAATAATGGCTACCCACACACTGGTTGAGAAAGGGAGAGAGAAGATATTGGACACGTAGGAGAGAGGAGGCTGGCGGAATATGAACCGAACTCTGAACGGTGCCATCATGTCTGTGTAAGTAACCACGTCTAGGCGTTCTTTGTCGTTGATCATGCAGTTGGTACCTGAGAAAATAACCATATAGATAACTGAAATTAAGATGAAGATATTTATCAAGATTGGAGGAAGCCACAGAATGCAGGCCGGCCAATCTGGAAATCATTGGGAGTGGCCTGTGCTCAGCAGTGGACATCCTGCGGCTAAAATAATGAAGTAGCAGTGGAATTGGTGGTTGAAGTTTTGGGAGAAGCCCCGTTGGCTTGGCAGCAAGCATTGGGGAAGTAGTCATTCCCAAATCTAAAGAGATCGCACTGCATCAATTTTTGCAATCAATTCTGCAAAATCTTGCAATGCAAAATTGAAAAAGTAACGTACCCAAATCAGCCTTTCCAGTGTGAAGATCGTTTATCATGCCCGACCACTGCCCGTTCTGCTTGTATCCCCATCGGTGGCTGAAGATGTACCGAGGAGTGGCGTTAAGCATTTGAAAAGCTAGCTTCACATCCATCCAGCAAATCTTTGCGATCGAGTCGAATTGGAGTTCCCTAAAAGATTAATACAGGCTCTTGGTTATCATTTACCTTTTAAGTAACTCTGTGCAACTTCTTGTTTGGATAAGCTGCAGTTATCGCCTTTAATTTTTTCAGTACAATCTGTACAATACACCAAGTAAGACGTACTTACAATCTGTTTTCCCTTGGCAGATGGTATTGAGTCGTGTTGCTATCTTGAATCACATTAGCCATGGTCAGAGGGTGTCCCATAACGTCCCTTCGTCTTCGGAAAAGCTCTCTATGGGGTCTAGTGTCGATAAAAGTTCCATTGAAATATCCTCTTGGAGTTTTTATCATTGGTTGAGAGGATGAAGATCTATGGACTAAAAAGTAAAAAGGCAACAATAATTAAATGTACCTATTTGATTGCGCTCAAGTTATAGTGTTTGATATCAATGACTTACGTTCACTCATTTTGTACCCATGGTCGTCCCTTTCAGCTAACACCACATCACTGTTTGGCAATAAAGGACAATCCATAAGAAGATCTAGACTGGTCTGATTAATATTTGTACCTGATAAGACCAGCCATCGAAAAGGAGAGCTGAAAAGTTTTTTCCTTGTGCCCTACAGAAAGTTTTATTAGTTTATATATATTTATATTTTTAAAGGATAACTGTGAGAATAGAAACATCATACATACAGTGAAAATAATATCGGCAATATTTGGGCAGTTATAATCGACAAGAAAAAGCACATTGTGCAATAAATAATCAGGAGCATTGTTGCCCATTAATGTTGAAGACCTAAACCCAGCTTTAGATAATTCATTCACTAATTTCACCACAGTACCTGAAATAAAACATGATAATGACTTCGGTTATTATTTAAATAAACTAAATTATAAAAATACATATCAATTTATTATACTCGTGTCCCAACACAGATCCCAAAATATTGTTTGAGTTGGCGTTTCTTCATTAAGAATGTAATGTTTAATAAAATTGGTCGTAAAACTGTCCCTTGCAGTAACCCCATTGTTTATAAATAACGCAAACACAACCAACTCCAAATACTTCATCATAAGAATAACTAAATTCACAGGCACCGCACGAATAGACTTAACTGGAAATGTAAACTTCAAGCTCTGTGGCAGTTTATAGCAATTATTTTAATTTGACTAGGTGAGTAAACATTATCAAACGCTTTAAGTAAGACGCCTGGCTATACTCGAAGTTATTTATCAGTAAGTAGGCATTATTGATTACATAATGGCTGAAATTAGTAGGCACCATTTATCCTCCATATTTAAATGCTTTAACAGTTTCAAAATCTTAAAATGTATGGTATCAGTTAAATGTATACGATTTTCTGTGCAAGTTTGTTGTTAGTTAATAGAAACAATGTAATTACTTTTCATTTGCACATTTTTTGCTTTAAATAATTATTTTTTAAATAAATATTGTTCCCACTTAAGTGACTTAAAATTTCGTGTAACAAACAACATGAAATAACTCTTATTATTACAGACAGCTTTTATAATATTTAATGAGTAACTGTCTAAATACTAGGCTGGGAAATTACCCTTAATTGCCACTTTCCAAGTGAAGCAAACCATAATTTGATTGAAAAGGAATTAGGATAGTTAACTGGCTTCCGTTTGCTTAACTTACGATCGGAAAATTAACTATACTTAGCTTACAGAGGTTTATTTTATTTAATGATAGTGTTTTACCTATAGAATCAGAAATGAGGAGATCCGCAGGAGAACCAAAGTAACCGACATAGCTCGCAGAATTGCTAAAATCAAGTGGCAGTGGGCGGGGCACATAGCTCGTAGAGACGATGGCCGTTGGGGCCGGAAAGTTCTCGAGTGGCGACCACGGGCTGGAAGACGTAGCGTGGGCAGGCCTCCTACTAGGTGGACCGACGATCTGGTATAGTCTGGATGCGGGCAGCGCAGGACCGTTCATTGTGGAAAACCTTGGGGGAGGCCTTTGTCCAGCAGTGGACGTCATTTGGCTGAAACGACGACAACGACGATTTTACCTATTATGAAGAATAATACAGACGTTACGTCATGTGATACATTGAACTTCACACTTGCATAACGATGTGAGAACAAAATGAAAACAATACTTAAATGAATGATCACTGCAAATATTATACGTAAGTACATTCTACTTATTATATTCGTGAGTAACAACTTACACCTGTCCTTAATTATACATTTTGTAGTAATACAAGCGATAATAATTATAATTTAAATGACTATCTAAAAAAACAGTGTTGTTCAAACTTTTTACAAGTTTTTATTTTTATAGTGACAGCAGGCAGACAGCTACATGGAGGGAGATGGGGTGAATTTTCTATTCATTTTACTTTTTCAAATCTAAAATGTATGTGTGAAGAAACTATACTTACTGTTTTAAAATGGATGATTATGCTAACTCTATCTAATATTATACTTTAAATTCAATACTTTATAGCTTTTGACTACACCCATCAAATAAAACTGAGCAACTACGAGACGCTAGATTAAAGTATGTTGAGACATAATATCATATTATCGGGTGCGCCAAAGTTCACCTAAATTTTC